CCAGCCCCCTCTCTCTAGCTGCTACCTGAAAACAAGGCGGTCTGGAGCACGCGCTGGAGGACCAGCTTCCTGCCTGCACAACTCCTCCTCTCCGGACGGTAAGTGCCTCTGGACAGACTAAAGCTTGGGGACACGTGGTTTTAAGCAACAGCCACAACGGAGGAGGAGGAAGAGGCACTCTTTCACGCAGCATCCCTGCAGAACACCATTCAAAGCTTGTTAGCACACCCGCTTCGGTGCCAGAAGACATTTAAAGAACAGTTTTCTGACGAATGACTCTGTCTGCAGTTAAGGGGGGGCAGAAGGAGAAGCCCATCCAGCCAAACTGTTCCAGCAAGATCACGAGGAGGCCAAAGGCTTTGAGACATTGACCATCTCTCTTAACATTCACCCTCTGGGGTGTAATATGTACCAGAGATTGGATCCTTGCGGGAGGAGGGAAGGACAGCCAGAGGAGAAAGCTGACACGTCTGCATTCAGTGACCAGCCCAGAAGAAAAGAGACATAAGATAATCTGGATTTTAAGAGCCCACTGGGTGAGCCTGACACCCAGCTAAGGGATGTTCTCCAGATCCGGCCCCGATAGCACTAAAATACACAGCAAGCCTTGCAGCGCGAGGAAGGACACCAAAAACCCAACTGCCCTGGGGGCTGGCCACGTCTTCCCGCGCCAACCAGGGAGCTGCCCTTGCTGGGTCTAACCCCTGCCCGCTGAAGGCAAAGGGGGAGCTCAAGTCCCACCGCCTCCTCACAGGCTGGGGCTCTAACGGCACGCGAGAAAGCCACCGGTGGTGATCACATGGGAAAACTGGAGAGCAGCCAGGCCAGATACAGTGACCTGGTCACTGAAATCTCTCGGCTGCTCTCAGCAGAGCCTGGGCCTGCAGGAGCACAGCCGAGCGGTCCCTCATACAGCCCTACCCGCTGCCCTTGGGTAGTGCCCAGCCAAAGGGAGAAACATGGGCACAGATCTGTAGATAAGTGTGCGTGTCTGCATTGCTCACAGATGCTGAGATGCTTTCCAGCAAATCTTTACGGGGATTGTCGGGACAATCGAGTACCCGAGCGTGGCTTCACTCTGCAGGTCAAGGTTCAAGGCCATCGGGCCCCGACGAGTCCTTCTCTGTGGGACAAAGCACCAAGACCTGCTGGTTGAAAGGCTGAGGCAGAGCAGAGACCAGCTCGCTGGGGAAGCACTTATGAACAGAAAAGTTCTCAGCAACTCGAGCCCAAGGAAAAAAAAAAAAACAAAAAAAACTGTGTCGAATGTTTTAGGTATGACTGGAATGTCCATACAAATAAAAAGGGGGTCACACATTTCCCAGAGACCGACAATCAGCCTCCTGCTCTCCGCAGCGGAGTGCTTCTGACAAGGCACACCTACCCGCCTTTCGCAGGAGGCAAGAACAATGCACACGGAAACAGCAGGCCTCAGTTGGGCTGAAAGCTGTTGTCATCAAGCAGCGAGACAGATCCAGGCAGCCTACAAGCCCCCAGGGCCGTAACTCTTCAGAGGTAATAATTCCAGCTGACAAGCTCGCTCCCTGCAGAAGGTAACTGCGTCCCAGCCTGGCTGCCTGGGAGGAGGAGCGCTCCGGGACCCTTCCTCATTTCCACTGGAGACACAGCAGAGATGGGCAGGAGAGGGCATGGTTTGCCCAGAGAAAATCCCATCTGCTCTACTTTGTCTAGAATCAGCTGAGCTTTGTGACAGAGGCGTTTCACCAGGGCCTTTTTTTTTTGCTGAGGGGCTCAGTTGGTCTGTAACCCTAACCCAAACCAGCTGAGGCTCTCAGCTGGTCCGTAACCCTAACCCAAACCAGCTGAGGGTCTCAGCTGGTCCGTAACCCTAACCCAAACCAGCTGAGGGTCTCAGCTGGTGGCCTGAAACGCAAACCTGCCCAGGGCTATGCTCCCTTCTGACCACAGCCCGACAAGTGCAGGACTCCTGCGCGACACGGCTCCGAGTACAGCCGCGTCCCGCCCGCCGCCCTCGTGCCAGCCGACCCGACGGCAAGTTACTTGGACAAATGCAAACGCCAGCGGATTCCAGAGCAGAAGCCAGCTACAAGTTCCCAGAATAGCCTCTGCCACGCAGATGTGTTTTGTTGCACTGCTGAAGGCTTTAAGAGTGTCATCTTGGGAGGTATCTGCCTGCTACAGAAAATGAAAACATGACCCTCTCTCCAAAACAGGCCAAGTCCCTGCCCGCCGGCGAGCGGGAACAGGGAGCGCAGCCACGAGGAGCTGCCTTATGCAGACACGGGTGCGAGCACCCACCGAAGAGCTTATCCTAAAACAGAAGAACAAACCCCTTTTCGTCCACATCCAGCTTCTCACCCCTCCACAGCGTCTGTGGTTTACACGCAACTGGGACGTCTGGGAGAGAACG